TATTTTTTTAAAAATAATAATAATATCTGTAACTTTCAGCTGTAGATCTATAATCTAGATCTATAGAGGAAAGAAAAATGTTTTTATTTAAAAGTTTAAAAAGGACATCTGGACCTCTGATGCTGGCACATTACTAAAACCAGGGACACCTGTCAAACATGAAACATCAGCAGACATGAGAACAACAACTTTTGATGGATTTAAAAATTGAACGTCATGCTCATGGAACAAAATCACAACCCTTAACCAAGATTTTCTAACAAGGCTTATAACCAACTTTTCACTTAAATGAGACTTATTATGGTGGTTACGTCCCTTTAGTCACATGGCGAGGCGTTAATTAATTGTTTTGTGTTTAAAAAAAAGGGGAAAAAACCGTGACAAATCGCTGATAATCCAAAATTATGCAAATGTTGCAGAATTACGCGAAAAAACGCGGCCGCACAATCGCATAATCCTACTGGGACAGGTATAGGCCACGGACAAACACTTGCCACCTTTCTCTATCCTTGGCTAGCCTCTTGGTGGTATTTCACGCCTTCCCACTTTTATGTACATCAATTTCTGTGATTCTTCTCCAGGTTCCACGCGGTCTTCACCTTGATCTTTTACCCTGTGGATTCCAGTCCCCTCCCAGAATACATGTACCATATTATTAGTTCCCCCGAGCTGAGCTGCTTCTGTCCAGACTGTATCCAGTGTGTTTCGCTGATCCCTATAGTATGTGCAGCATGTATCTCTTCTTCTCTTGTGATACTTGAGAACTATTCCTGCTTCATACAAGGTGCGAACATTCCACGACGCAATCCGGAGAGACTTGTTCCACACAGAAGGTTTCAGGCCAGGAGAGTCCTTTTGGCTTTGTGCGCAGATCTTCATAGTTCTAGCTTATGCAGAAGCTCCGCCATCTCCCAAGATCGAAAAATAAAAAGCCGTGTTTGTCCGTGTTTCTGTAACTGGTTGTTTTTACTGGGTTGGGTATTTGGCCCTCCGGAAACTGGCTCTTTCTTGAGATCAGACCTGTGTACCTTTAGTCGCCTCTTACGACTCGCAGTATCACGCAGGTGTGTTCTTTGCTCCCGCATAGTAAAACTATACCCCCTTCCCTCCCCCCCCCCCCAAAAAAAAAAAACACCTGCAGGGGCGAGATAGTGTTAAAGTTTGCAAAAAAATCCTTTAAAATCCACACTCCAGACATAACCACCAAAAATCTATTTATCAAAATTCAACAGAAAAAAGTTTGGTATTACAACTTTTCTTTATTCGGTAAACATTTCATGAAGATTGGATAAAAAAAATGGTGGAGTTATTCAAAAAAGTATACAGAAAAACCGCGTTTTTAGAAAATGGGCAATAAAGAAAAATAAAAGATAGATTTATGAGGTGATGGTGGTGACTAACATGCCTGCTTTTTCACTCCACTAACTACAGACCTGGTTGGGTGGGGCTCACAGCTTATCTTTTATTGATAACGACAATGATCTAGGAGGTCACACGAGAACATTAACCATATCCGTACGTCGTATTTTACCATGGTATCCATATGACGTGGGGAACCCTGTGCCACCACTTTTCAAAGAGGAAATTTACTCGTTAATCTAACCCGTACGCCTTGCATAGCAGTCTGTCAAAATGATTTTTGAGAAATACTGAAAGTTTCAAAGAGTACTTCGTACTAGAAGTCTTCTAAAATCTGAAGAATACAACTCCGGGGGTATAAAATAACCCCAGGGCGTACGGTTAAAGTAATACCCCCCTCCCCCTAATATTTTTGCAGACATCGACGATCACAGCCTGCTATGTCTTCTTTCTATGAGACAGCACCAAACCCCAATGTGACCCGAAGGTGACCCAGGAACTCGTACTAGGGGAGGACGGACAGTCGCCTCTGATGGTGGTGTGTGTGTGAGGGGGGGGAGGTGCAGTGGTGGTAGTGGTGTGTGTGTGGGGGGGGGGGGTGCAGTGGTGGTGGTGGTGTGTGTGAGGGGAGGGGGGTGTGCAGTGGCGACGGATAGGTTGTAAAGAGGGTGGACCTTGCCTTGATCAAACATTGAGATCACTCAGATGATAAAAGATGTATACTGACTGAAAAGACGGTGAACCACGCATATAAAAACGTAGCGTGAAAATGTACACAATATATTCAAAAGTATCATATAGTCTTGTTAATTGCAATGCAACGTTTCAAACAAGGAAATTGGACTCACCTATGCGTTTTTATACATGTACATGATCTGTGTCTTTCAGTTGAAATGCTGAGTAAATTTGCCAATGACTTTTTGGCCGAACGGTGTATCCTGAATTTCCAATAAGTATTCTGTACGATACATTGCTGCATTGAAGACCAAACATAAGATACCAGTTTAACACTACCTCAACTCACTGATAGAATACAATAAAAGCGCTTGCTCCATTGACTGTCTTATCTCCATGCACAGAACCCAAGTGTACACAGTACGCAAGAGATCACTAACAATTTGTACTCTCAAAAAATTCATTTTAAGTGTTGACCCTACACATTGCACACTAAATCTAGGCGCACTGATATCATCATAGTAACACATCTTAATAAAGAAAACGCAGAGATCCGAAGGGGGAAAAAGGGGGGCGGGGTACTCAGTCTACGCTTCAGTGTGCAGCCATAAGAGAAAAGATTCTCTACTACCAGTAGTAGAGAATCTTTGGTCAGAGTGTGCAAACTAGGCCAAGAGTCAAACAATGCCTGGGCACGTAACACAGCGTGACTTCAGCCCCCGAGTCTAATAGAACCATCAGTTTCTTTCTCTCGGCCTTGAACTATACAAGGTCAATGCCCCAGTGTTATTCAATCTGTGGTAACTAAAGCGCGGGGCTTAAGGGACAAACCAATCAAATTTTATTCACTCTGACGGAAGGAGCCATTGATTGGATAAAGCTGTAGTAAAGACACACAGACCAATCAGACCACTTCTCGAGTTATTGTGCCTCAGGAATTTCGTTTGGGTGTTGTTGGGGTTTCGCTTTTTATCGGCATACAGTATTATTATTTTTGTCTCTTATATATTTTTGGGGGGTTAAATGTTTTGTTTTAATTCTAGTCAAAGAAGTAGCTTTTTGATGAAGAAAACAGATGGGGCTGAAGCTCCAAACCTCACCCCCACAAGAGGTCACTGGATGGGGCTTTCAGTTTTAGCCTTAACGGGGACTTCTTTGCCAAAAAGGTACCCCTGTTGAGTAAAGTCAAAACGAAACTTTCCACAAACTTTTGAAAAGGGACAAAACATTCCGTAAAAAAAGTGTCACATCACGAAGACCAAAGCGAAACTCGAATAGCAACATTATTGGCCTGAGTCTCTTACTTCTAGTTTACTCCATGTACTACTGTAGCAACTTTCCTCACCATAAAATTCGAAGGGCACAATGATCATTCATGTTTTCGCCTAAAGACACCTATGGGAAAGTCCGTTTTAAAGGTTTCAAACGAAGGATTGTTATTAACAATTTTACGATACTTAAATGTAGGCCTACATGATTCTGCATTTTCACATTGTCTTTTTATATGTGTGTTTGACTGACTTTTCTGTCATTATATACATCTATTATAATCTGAGAGATCTCAATTTTGGTCAGGGCAAGCCCCACCCTCTTTACCACCCACTCGACGCCACTGATACACACACGTTTTCCCATTACCACGTCGTGGAATTCGTTGGTAGTTCCATGACGGTGACAAATTCTCTTTATTATAGTATTATCTCTTCTCAACTTGACGTCTCAACCAAACACGATAAAGCTCTGTAGTATCCATTGGGCATGTGCATTCACACGAGGGAAATGATAAGGTAAGGGTTCTTACATGCTTGTGTGCGTGTGTGTGTGCGTGTGTGTGTGTGTGTGTGTGTGTGTGTGTGTGTGTGTGTGTGTGTGTGTGTGTGTGTGTGTGTGTGTTGTGTACATGCTTGTATACATGAGAATATTTTGCTACAAAGTTGAGGAGAGAAACATTTTGCAACGCTGAAACGAGACAATATTTTTATTGAGAGAAAATATTATAGACTTCAGCATCTACAAAATCATATTTCTATGAATTATGCAATGCTGCTTCAATACCAAGTGCTAGATTTGCGACAGACATCGGCAAATATGATTCGCCATTCATTCATTTGCTCGGATGCTCTCAAAACAGCTTTGTTACCCCGTCACTTATCTGTTTGGGCTCTCCCTGTAAGTTGCGCTGGGTCTACCCCCGCCTCATTTGCCTTCAATTTTAAAAGTGAGAGCGTGGTGTTCCCCTGTCTATTCAAGTGTCCCATTTTTCGGACAACCAACATCCTTTGTTCCATCAAATTAAAATGTTAGTGCAAAGTAAAGGACCTATGTGCTTCTGACGTGAAACAACGGAGGATATTTTTACCGTCTTGTAATATTATAATATGAGTATCTATATGACCTCAAAAGTGTGCACTATTTGAATACTTTCGGATTGCTATTAGAACACCTCTGAAACATTATATTATTAGTAGTAATTGTGAGGCATCGTGGTGAAATCAGGCTCTCGTCAAAATAATGAAATCAAGGATATAGGCATTTTTCTGGCCGTTGGGCATTTTTTTTTCTAATTTTCTTCTTTTTATTTTTGGCTCAACACCTTTTACATCCATTTAAAAACACATTTCTGCAAGGATTTTCCTGAAAAACATTGATTGAATCACAAAAATATGTAAATTTTCATTTTCCAAGGACTCTCAAGCTATAGAAATTACCAAACTTTGGAGGCCGTTTCCTCGCTAATTTCACCTCTGAAACCGGGCGACCCTGACCTCCTTCAATCGCAAATATCTCGACTTCTATTCAACATTAATGGATATGTTTTTCACCAAAAGCAAGGCAAATAAACAGTCTTTAAGGTGATACCAAAATAACTCCATATATGCCAAAAATTGACAAGCGCCTGATTCCACCACGTAGTTACACAATTATTGTTCTTTTATATATTATCATCATGTGCGTTTGCCTGTGTGTTTGTTTGTTAGAGCAAACATATGTTTTGTGTGTGTGTGTACAGATGCATGTGGAAGAGAGAATGTATGAAAGAATAATAATGTGTTTAGGCCTAAAAGCGCTCACGTATGTGCGTGTGTGTGTGCGTTTGTGTGCGTGCGCGTACGCAATGTGCCAGTACCTGGACAATAGAGATTTATCTTATCTTATCTTATCTCTGCTTATCTTATCTCTCATTTTGTTTTATCTAATTAGTTTCTTGGTCTGTAGTGTCTGCTGCATTAACTCAAGAAATATTCACACCCCCCCCTCCCCCCGCCCCCACACAGCAGGAAAAGATGCATATTATTTAAGCTGGTACAGGTTTTTAAAGAATAAAGCATTTTTCTTGATGTTTCCCCCCCCCCCTCTCTCTCCTGAAAACGCTTGCTCTCTGGTCTTAGAACAATAATGGAACAACTTGTAAACGAATTGCTGTTTTAATATTTTACGCACCCCCTCCTCCCCCACCCCTTAATTCTCCAAATTTCACCATGTATTTGTCCCTTCTTGTTTGCTTTGTTTAGATATCTGCTTGTGCTGTTGACCGACGTTATGGTCGAGTAGTTAGCGGCTTTGTCGACGCACCTAGGACACCCGAGTTCCCTTCCCAAGTGGGGACAAGTTTATCGAGTATCTCGGGCTTTCTGCTAGAACGTTGCATCCTTCTCAACCCGAGTTGACCTTGATAGGTAGGATCGAAGCCTGTCTCTTAAATGATGTAAATTGTGTCCATGGGGGCGTAAAACATCAGCATTAAATCACCTGTAATGATAAAATCTACTATCTTAGAACGTCTACATATACTCCAAATTGCTTCTCCCTAAATCAATCAATCAATCAATTAATCAATCAATGAATTAATCAACCAATAAATAAATACATCAAGGAATGGATGAATGAATAAATGAATGGATTAAATAAAAAAATTTAAAAAATGATAAATAAATAAATAAATAAAAAAATAAAATAAATAAAAATAAAAATAAAAATAAATAAATAAATAAATAATAAACAAACAAACAAATAAATAGATATAACACGAACAAATAAAATTTAAAAATAAATACACAGATAAATAAGTATATTATAAATGAATGAATAAGCTTAAATAAATAAATAATGTTACGAGTAATACCAAAACAACTTTTTTTCTTCAGATTTTCAAGAAAAACGAGAACACACGATGCCAGCGAACAGAAGTTTCCAGCTCGTGTAGAGAAACCTCGTTCCGATAATTAATGTGACAGATAGCAACAACAGAGGTAGAGAACAGAGGTAGGACATTTCAGTGACGCCCTCCAATCACCCTCACAGGAGGCACACCGACAGATAGACAAACAAACAAACAGACAGACAGAAACAACAAAGGAAAAAAGAAAACAGAGTAAGGCCTTTCAGTGGCGTGCTTCAACCACCCATGTAGGCAGACAGAAACAACACAGTGAAATAAAAGAAGTTGGACCTACAAATGGCAGCGCCCTCCAACTTCACACATAGGCAGACAAACGGAAAAAAGATAAAGAAAGAAGAAACGTTGGATCTACCAGTGACGTCCTCCAACCACCCACACGGACAGACAGCAACAACAGAGGAAAAAAACAGATGTTAGGCATACCAGTGGCGCCCTTTACCAACTATCTTGAGGGAAGAAAAGGAAAAAAAGAAGTAGAACATACCAGTGGGCCCTTCAACCAAACAGACAGACAGACAGACAGACAGACAGACAGACAGACAGACAGACAGACAGACAGACAGACAGACAGACAAAAATTACAAAGGAGAAGGAAGGAGTAGGCCCTACAACCATCCCAGAATTTTAACAGCCCCCACCAATTTTTTTTTTTCTTTTTCACCCAAACAGAAAATCAAAGAAAAAAAAACAACAAAAAACAACCACTTGTACCCCCTTCCCCCAACAAAACAAGACAGAACAAAACTAGCTAAAAAAAAAAAAAACAACTAAAAAAAAACGAACAAACAAACAAGACAAAAATCCCCCCGAAACCAACAATTAAACAAAATGGCGTCAACGGAACCGACGGTGAAAACATTCTCAGTCGCTGATTACGTGGTTTTCGTCATCACACTGGTTATTTCGGCTGGTATTGGAATATTCTTTGCTGTGAAAAAAGGCGGCCAAAAAAGCACCAAACAGTTTTTAATGGCTGACAAAAGCATGGGTTTCTTTCCACTTTCCCTTTCCGTATTGGCGTCTTTTTTCTCCGCGTCCACGTTGCTAGGGACGCCAGCAGAGATCTACCAGTTTGGAACCATGTACTGGATCTCTGTGTTCGGCGCTGTGTTTGCCCCTCTCACCGGAGCGCTGCTGTTCGGACCCATGTTTTACAAGTTAAAGGTTGTGAGTGTTTTTCAGGTAAGTCAAATAATAATTTTTATTTGTTAAGATATAAGAGGGTGCGGTGGCGGAGCGGTTAGTGCGCTCGTCTCCGAAGCGGAATGTCCAGGTTCGAGCCCCGGTTCGGACAGGGATTATTTTCGCCCCTTCCTGCCCACCCAGCAGTAATGGGTACCTGACTTCGAGTTGGGGAAGTAAAGGCGGCGTGGAAAGGATCTGGCCACCCCACCATAAAATGCCGAAGGCCAAGGAAGTTGTCTCACTAACAAGGCAATCCCCAATGTCCGGCCGGATCGGATGCGGGACCAACTTTTAAGATATTGCAAATTGTAGATTATTTACGCTCCCATCAACACAATTTAGATCATTTGGGAGGCGAGATATTTGACCTTTTTTGTAAAGACCAGTCCGGGCTGAGAGGGATACAGCTTCCACGCAGAAAGGCGGAGATACTCGATAACACCCCCCCCCCTCCACCCACCCACACACACACACACACACACACACACATACACACCCCCTCCTACCCAAGGAGTTTACAGTATCTAAACTCCTTGCTCCTACTCCATCCCTCAAACTCCAATGCTGAAACCGAGCTCACGTCTTCTGTGTGCGACGACGAAGTACATAATCGCTACAACACATACTCTTTTATTATTGTAAGCGAATGAGATAATTTTTTTAAATTAAAAAAAAAGAAGGAATAGATCTACGTGTATACCCACCTGATGGATATTATTGTAGAAGAACTTTTCGGTGGTTTTTTTGGGTATTGTGTTAGGGTGTTAGCGTGTTGTTGTTGTTGTTGTTGTTGTTGTTGTTGTTGTTGTTGTTGTTGTTGTTGTTGATGTTGCTGCTGTTGTTGCTGTTGTTGTTTTTTGTTTTGTTTGTTGTTTTCTTTTTTTTTGGGGGGGGGGGGCATGTGAGTGTGTGGGTGGGGGGGGGTGTGGTTGATATTAATTTTACTTTGAGACTTCATTTTGTGTGTGTGTGTTTGAGAGGGGGTGGGGTAGGGGTAGGGATAGACCGGTACTTTGGTCACTGTCATTTTCCATGAAATGGGCACACTCTTCACTTTTGTTCTACTCCGTTGTTGTTTCTGTTTGTCTCGCTTTTTCACAGCAAATATATATGTGTCACGACGTGGTGGAATCAGGCGCTCGTTAATTCTTGGGCAAATGGGGTTATTGGCATCATCTTAAAAATCCTGTTTAATAACCTTCCTTGTGGTATAAAAAATATCAATCCACATATTTGCGATTGAAGGAGGTCAGGATCGCCTGGTTTCAGAGGTAAATTTAGCAAGAAGATGGCACCAAAATTTGGTACCTTCCATTGCCTGAGAGTCCTTGAACACTGAAAATTTTCATTTTTGTTACGTTAATTAGTGTTTTCCAGTAAAATCCAAACCGAAATGTGTTTTTAAATTAACAGAAAAGGCGTTGAGCCCAAAAAATGAAAATGAGAAAAAGAAAAAAATGCCGATTTCTTTGATTTAATTATTTTGACGAGCGCCTGATTTCACCACGATGCCTCACATTGTCATATGACCTTTATTATTCCGATGTACTTGTTTTTGCTACAACTCATTTTTTCAGAATTGTTACAGTTATTTTTCTTTAATTATTATTGTTATTTTCCTTAAATGTTACTGTCATTTTCTTTTATTATAACAGTAATTTTTATTACTCGTCTCTGTGATTTTCTTAAAATATCACTGTCAATTTCCCTCATAATTTTAACTGTCACTTTTACAAATAAGTGTCAGTGTCACTTTTCCTTTCTCGTCAGGGTCAATTTTCCTTACAATGATCAATGTCACTTTTCCTTACAATTGTCAATGTCACTTTTCCTT